TGTTAGAATTTCGAATGACTATTCGCTTATTTGCTTATTGTGCAGTACATACTGTTTTAGTAAAAGTTTATCTTTTACAAAAAACTTATTTTATTAGAGGAAAACAAAATAATTGTTTAATTTTTTTTTAGCTTGTCATTACAAAAAAAATATTTATCATCATCATCAGAATATTAAAAGCAACTTTAATTTTACTTTTTCTTAAAAAAAAAAAACGAATATTTTATAGTTCTTTTATTTAACAATTTTGTACCAAGCGTAAAACTGTGTAGCGCGATCGTTTGCCACGTGCGCCCTATTACGCCTCTCGGCGAGTATGAAATACGAGGATACCGTGACTATAAATAGAAGGCATCCCCTTAATGACCCGTTGTTTAAGTGACTGACTCTTGAGGATTACACAAGGGTATGTTGAACAGTTGCCCGTTGTAAATATTTTTATCCCGTCGGCTTTTATTATCGACCAACATATGGTATACGAGTGTGTGGCTGTAACATGGGATGGCTATTGTGGATAATAAAATTTAAGTATAAACTATTTAATTTATATTAAGATTAATTTGACGATTTGATTATAAATAAATCTACATGTGTAGCAATTAACAGGCCAAGGCATCGTTTTATTGGCTCCAAAGAGCATTTATAGAAAAGTTAAAAATTCGTATGATATTTTTCTTTTTTTCTCTGACAGGACATGACCACTCTTATGGAAGGGAGACAGAGGTTGCTTAGATTGCATTACTAAACCTTTCGCAAATTCAAGCTATTGAAATTCTTAGACACTCGATATTTAACAATGACATTTTTATTTTATAAAAATTTAAGAGGCATTCAAACTTACATTATACGGTTTAGTGGCGATTGTAGCCCATGGACACAATAATATTAATATTAAAAATAGGTATTTACCTATGAAATTGCAATTTTGTAGTAGGTACTGGCCATTTAACAAAAAATAATTTTTGTTTTTAGCTAAGAATTATACTTTCAAATTAATTTAATTATAAAAAATGGAATTCTTTTTTCAAAATTAGTCAATTGTTTATTGATAAACGTTTTGTTTTTATTGCATTTGAATTTTGGTATTTTAGAATCTTTCATCATCATGCATACTTTAAAAGTTGGAGCTTATGGAATATGAGTACCGTCGTAGCAGCAATTTGGCACAAGGGGTCAACATCAACGACGTTTACGGAACGAATACTACAAACGAACGCACCACCTGTAATTGATTTGCCTGCTACCATTCTGAATGAAATTTTGACCTGAAAAATGAATGCTGTGGCGTTCGAAAATTTTGGTCGACAATGAATAATTAAAGGCGAATGTGAAAGCAAGCTTATGACAATCAATCTGCGGCTGAATTAGCAGCAGCTTTCGACATTAGCATCAAAACACTATTGGTCCATTTGCGTCAAATTGGCAAGGTATTTTTTTATAGAATAAGGGTGACAAACGAGCACACAGTCCACCTGATGGTAGGTGGTTGCTGTGGCCCATAGACATCTACATCTATTTTTGTTTGCGAATTAAAATGCAGATACGTTGTCAGCCGTGAGGACTAAGATGGAATGCCTCTTTTCCAGTAAAAAGGGTCTCCGGTTCTCTACACTCACCATACGAAACACAGCAGTATTAAGCTGCTATTTTCCGCTGGTATTCTGTGAGAGCGTAGTCCTTCTCCGGTCGAGCCAACCCATTCGTGCTTCAACTATAATATTAGTACAGCTGCAGCATGGCTCTACCATGTATAAAAAGGTAAAGAAGTTTGACAAATGGGTGCCCCACATTCTTTTTGCTCGCCAGCGCGAAGTACGCGTCGAGACGTGTCTTGCACTGCTCAACAGGCACACAAATGAAGAAATTTGAACCGCATTGTTACCTGTGACGAAAATGGATTGTGTTTGACTATCGCAAGTACTCAGCAAACTGGTTGGACCGGTTCAGCGCTAAACGAAAACTTACCCTTAGCAAAGTGGTGGTCACTGTTTGGTGATCTAGTGCCGGTGTGATTCATCACAGCTTCTTTACAAACGGGATGATAATTACTGTAGATGTGTACTGTACATAATTGAACACAATGATGGAGAAACTCGCACATTTACAATCAGCTTTGGCCAATCGCTCGTCCTTACTGCTCCTGCATGACAAAGTGAGACCTCATACTGCACAACAGACAGTCTCCAAGTTACAAGAGCTGTGGTTAGAAGCTCTCCGTCATCCACCATACTCACTAGACCTTGCATTTACAGACTTCTTTTTTACTAGACTTTGAATAAATTTTTGGTGAAAAACAATACCCAAGAGGCAGTATAAAATGCCTTTGAAGAATTTGGTTACTTCCCGTCCAGCTGATTTCTTCAAGAAGGACCAATAAAAGGATCAATAAATTATCACTACGTTAGCAACGATGCAACGATTGCATGGCGCATTACTTTGATTAATAGAAATAAAAAAATTAAAAATATTACGTTAACTTATTTCATAAAAAGTGGGAATTTCATAGGTAAAGATTTAATATACTATGAATTATGTATCCTCTAAATAATTAGATATTTCGTTTTTATTAATATCTATAAAATATATCGCGATGACAAATATTTTTTCCCATTTTTGATATTATAATAAAACCAGAAGCGCTATGGATTTGAATGCAGAGATTGCTAATATTTAATAAGATCTGTCGTCTGTAGAAGAATAATATAATGCTTTATGCAACTCTGAGGACTGTTAAGTGCTCTTTTACGGAGGGGCGAGGCGCACTTCAATTTGTAAAATCACTTACGCTCGTAGAATTGTGACGGTAAAATATACTGACATTCATATTTAACTCATCGTCATCATCATCATCATCATTACAGCCCTTCACAAGTCCACTGCTGAACATAGGCCTCCCCCAAAGAATGCCACAAAGCACGGTCCTGAGCCACCTGCATCCATCGACTTCCTGCATGTCTTACCAGGTCGTCAATCCATCTCGTGGGGGGACGCCCTACACTTCGCCTACCGGTACGAGGCTGCCACTCGAGAACCTTTCTTCCCCATCGGTTGTCGGTTCTTCGAGCCATATGGCCGGCCCATTGCCACTTCAGCTTACTAATCCGTTGGGCTATGTCGGTTACTCTAGTTCTACTGCGGATATCCTCATTCCTAAGTTTATCACGCAGAGAAACTCCGAGCATAGCCCTCTCCATAGCTCGCTGAGCGACCTTGAGCTTCCACATCCGGCCAGCAGTGAAGGACCACGTCTCAGTTCCGTATATCATCACTGGCAACACGCACTGGGTGTACAGTCTCGTTTTCAAGCTTTGAGGTATACCTGACGAGAAGATGTGCCGTAATTTCCCGAAAGCTGCCCAACCGAGTTGAATCCGTCGATTGACCTCTCGGTCGAAGTTGGACTTACTTAGTCAGACTATTTATCCCAGGTAAACATACTCGTCAACAACTTCGAGCTTAGTGTTCCCAACAACTACCGGCATAGGTGTGACATGGACATTAAACATGATCTTAGTTTTGTCCATGTTCATCTTAAGACCTATCCGTTGGGAAACACTATTGAGGTCATTGAGCATAGTTCTTAGGTCCTCCAGCGATTCTGCCATAAGGACTATATCGTCGGCAAATCGAAGGTGAGTGATGTACTCGCCATTGATGTTGATACCGTATCCTTTCCAGTCCAGAAGCTTGAAAACGTCTTCCAATGCAGCGGTGAAGAGTTTCGGGGATATGACGTCACCCTGTCTTACACCTCTCTGCAATTGGATAGGTTTCGTACTCTGGTTCTGTACTCGGATAGCCATCGTAGCCCTACTGTACAAGCACTTCAACACTTCGATATACCGACAGTCAACTTGGCACCGCTGAAGGGACTGCAGCACCGCCCAAATTTCGACGGAATCAAAGGCTTTCTCATAGTCCACATACGCCAGACATAGTGGCAAATTGTACTCTTCGGACTTCTGTACAATTTGCCGAAGGGTATGTATGTGGTCTATGGTGCTAAAGCCCTTTCGGAAACCGGCTTGTTCGGGAGGCTGGAAGTCGTCAAGTCTGCACGCGAGACGATTCGTAATGACTAATATTTAACTACTGAAAATAAAACCAATTAATGCATATCTTCTTCTATTGTTCATTCCAAAAAAGTCCATGGTTCAATCTCTGGAGAGACCCCCTCATCCAGCCATGGATAAAGAAATTTTACTAACCGAGTTCAAAAAACGTTCTATTTTTGTATGTGTTTATGTATGTTCACTGATTTCTCTAGAAAGACTAAACGGTATTGAATGAATTATTAAACAAGATTTTACACATATACCTTGAATTTTATGTTTCTCAAAACACTTAAAATAAAACTTAATAAAGAGTAAAACCGACTTCGAACTCTAAAAAATATAACTTATGAAATCGTATTTCTTTAATACACCTTGTCTTAGCCTGAACTACAATAGCTATTAAGTGGAAATAATAATATTTTTTGACTTTCTACTTTTTATTAAAAGTTTAAATATTTAAACTGTAAACAGTCCAGAGTGAATTTGAATTAAAACTCATCTCGCTGCCTATCAAAAAGGGCAGAATATTAGCTGCCGGGCTTACGATATTTTCAACATCAGTGTGTTATGTACCGACAATATGTTAGTATGTCGTTTGAACTCAGAACATTAACTTGCTTGAGTTATTGTTCTGATTGTGTTCTGTTGTTGTGCTTCGCAATGAACGTCAGGCAACTTAACACTATTTTTTTTATCTCGTGCATATAGAGTTATTATAAATAGACGAATGGCGGTGCCTTGAAAAAAATCATCACCTCAAAAGTATAAATGGTTCTGGGGGCTAAAAAGAAGAATCATAAAAATGTGAGATCATCATAAAGCAAAATAAAAAATAACAGTGTAATTTTTACTTTGAGTAACTAAAATATTTAATCATAACTTTAACTAACGTCCATGATTAATACTTATTGTGTATTCCATATCAAATTATATTTATTTTTACAGAACTCTTATTGGGAACTCTGCGAACACATCAAAAAGCTGCGTGTGACGAGGATATGGTCACACTCATCTGTCCCCGTGGTACTACAATCAGCATTCAAGTAGCTCAGTACGGTGCTTCGGCGTCTCAAACATCATGTTCTCCTGAACTGGCAGAATACCAACCGGTTGCTGTAGAAGTCGTGGGCGATACTTCATGCACATGGCCTAGTGCCTTGCAGGTATTTATATAATAATAATACGTGTATCTGCGACCAACAATATAAATTAAACGATCAGGTAACGGGCTAGCGTTTAGAGTGTTGGTTAAACACCTCGTGAGGTGTTATTATTTATCAGATATACGCAGAAGGCATTACGTCAGCCAACTTCGGAAAAGACAATGTCTATATTCACACAAATAACTCCAAGGTAGTTTTGAACATCCCATAACTAAAAAAACATTTAGACCTACACACTTATAATTTTGTAAACAGAGAATATCTAGAATCACATGTTCCAAGAAAGTTATACTTTTCCATACATCCTACGATTTAAGCAACTGATATGGAGCTTGGCGCCCGTTCCGATTACAACTCTTTCATCGGCGAAGCTGACAACCCTGAACGCCACTGTGCCGCACTTGGCCCCCTTTTGACATTTATTTTTGTTTGTTTGTTCATTCTTAAATATATTAATTTGTTTGTTTATTCTTAAATGTAATGCAAAAACAACTAACATAGTGCAAAGGCAACTATCTCAATTCCTACCTGTTCACAGCCTAATGAATCCTTTTCTGATACTTTACTGTAAGGGCGGTCAATCTATATATTATACTTTACTGTTAGGCGGTATGATTAACGTATATTACGTATTTATAAATATATTATATGTTAGTTGTTAAATATAACTCATAGACAATTTCTATTAAGAATTAATTATGTTCATTATTAAGTACACACGGTGCTACTAGCTTTACGTATACAACTATTTCTCTTTCCCAAAGGGTTTGGTGGAAGAAAACTCTTGTTAGGATTATGCTCGCCTTTGTACATATTATCATTGAATAAGTAAATATTATTTGATATTTATTACTTATATTTGCTTACATAAGTAAGGTCGATTTTGGTATAACTGTATACTACAAATTTTCACTTCTTGTCGTAAGTACGATTTCTGTTTACTTAATTTATAATTTTGTGATTAGCGGTGTATAGTTTTATTTTAATTTTGGTTTTGATGATTAACAATTAATTCAACTTTAAGTAAGAACGGGCACAGTTTTTATATAGGAATGTAAAGGAATTTTATAATTCAGTTTTTATCTACTTCTAGAAATATGAATAATCTGAAATTTCACAGGCGTCTTGTGAACCGATGACAAAAGATTAAATTTATGACGATGAGCTGTAGTAAAGTATTGTCACTAGGGTTTAAACTCAGTTATTATTTGCTTTGGTTTTGATAAATACATAAAAGATATTACAGTCCAAAGCGCACGTATTGGTAAACTATATTATTATAACTACCAATACACTACATCTATTATACTATTTTATATCTGTAATCGAAATTATTTGTCACAAAAATCAAATTAAAAGATTTTTTCGCACAAAACATTGGCCAGCTTTCATTATTCGATAGTGATCTAAGAATATATAAAAGGATTATATATTGGAGACACACAGCTAAATATTAATTAATGCTTTATTCAAAATCAAAATACTTCCTACCTTAAAGAATTACTAAAGTAACATTTAATTTAAAACTTTTGAGGTTACTCGTGTAAATTGTTAGTATCATAAATATTTTACATACATAACATAATACATAAACACTCACGCCTGTCACCCAGAGGGTTAGGCAGAGACTATGGACTTTCATTTGGCACGATCCTGACACACCTCTCTCGCTTCCTCCACATCCATATACCTACGCATACACGCTCGTCGGTTAAAGGTACTCTTAATTTGGCCCATTTTCAATATATCGCTAATTTGTTCGATAAACTTTCACTTAGGGCGTCTCTTCCCGACTCTGCCGTTCACCTCTGCAACATAAATTTGCTTTGTCACTCTTTCATCATTCATTTTTTCTACATGACCAAACATATATTACAGACATATATTATATTAAATAACATATACCATTTTGACCCCAGGTCAACAAAATATATCGTGAATACGAGTTATTTTCTACCGATTTCAAAAAGGAGGAGGCACTCAATTCGACTGTATGTTCTTTTTTATGTGTGTTACCTCATAACTTTCTTGTAGGTGAACCGATTAAGAAGATTCTTTTTTATTTGAAAGCTGGTGTTTCTTATGTGGTCCCATATAAATTTGATCAAGGTGTGATCAATAATTTTTGAGTTATCCTTAATAATTTATATTGAAGTCGGTTGGACAAAATTTTTAACTTTAAATTATATATATAATTTTGTTAATCACTTGACTATATCACCATGTATTCGGAAATCATTGAACGATTAAACAAAAATTTTCAATATATAAATGCCTTTAAAATCTACCTCAAATATAACCTTACATATACCTTTAATATTTAAAGTATACCGACGCCTGGTAGTTTAGGGACTAAGCACTCGCTGTAAATTTTAAAACACTCGAGCAACTCAGGTGACTCTGAGGATGTATTTCAAGTTTATTTAACCCTAATAGTTATTATTACGTTTAAAACAATTTATATTATTCTAAGTTGATTTAACCTTTTTTTTACATTGCACTCTTATTCTTTCTTTCACACAACTAATGCGTATTGTTTAAGTTGTCAAGGGGTTTGTTTTAGTTTGCTTTGCATGTATGTATGAATTTATTGGATTTCTATTATTTAGTTTTCAACTACTTTCGGAACTCTGAATAATTTGAAATTGTACGAACTAGTATTTTCAGTAGGATCAATACAACTCATGGCCAAAGCGTGTATTTCAAGTTTATTTAACCCTAATAGTTATTATTAGGGTATAAAACAATTTATATTATTCTAAGTTGATTTCACCTTTTTTTTACATTGCACTCTTATATTAAATGAATAGACATACTAACTCAAATATGTTAGTATTCATTGTTACAGACAGTCGTGGAGGCGTGTCAGAAAAAGCGACAGTGCAAATTTAACACAAGTCCAAAAACATTTGGTGTTGATCCATGTCCTGGTTCTAGAAGGTTCGTCGAAGTCGCTTACAAGTGCCGTCCATGTAAGTATTTCTGCTTACTTTGATATTAGGTTTTATCTCTGAGTAAGGAGTGTCAGTAGTATTGTGATGTAATTATTTAGAAAAAAGGACCTTAAAGAACTACGAGTAAAATGTGAGGACTTATTATTTAAAAAATAATTTTAACTTCTACTTACGTGCTTAAGTACCACTGAATTTGCTATAACTTTATTGTATATTATAAATAACATAAGTAAATTTATTACATGGTCCCCGAATTAGTATAACTGTCAATATATAAATACCTATAAAATTGGAAAGGAAAGCATTTTCTCCCCTTGAAGTAAAACTAGACAAAATCTAATTTTCTATATAATAATACAAGCTGTTCCCTGCGACTTCGCCCGCGTGTTATTTAGGGTTTTCATTTTTGTGCGCGGAACACTAATTATTTTTATAAAATAAAAGTAGCCCAAGTTACTCCTTATAACATCAGCAATCCGTGTAGTGAAAGTCCCGTCAAATTTGGTCCAACTATTTCGGAGATTAGCCGGAACAAACAGACATACAGACAAAAATTTAAAAAATTGTGTTTTTGTGATAAGTACCGTATATCTACACTATCTACACTTCTACACTACTATTATAAAGAGGAAAGATTTGTTTGTTTGTTTGAATAGGCTCCGAAACTACTGGACTGATTTGAAAAATTCTTTCACCATTAGAATCCTACATTATCCTTGATAAACATAGGCTATATAATATTTTCAATAAGTTAGGGATCCGTATGAAAAATTCGTTAATGTAACCCAAGGTGTGAAAAAAATACCAAAAAGAATCCTTATATCGCGTACGCTGCGAAAACTATTGATAATAGATCAAAGTAATGAATGAAAAAGTAAGTAATGTACTTCAGTTTTATAGAGGATATCAATATCTACAAAAAAGTCTGCAATACCATGTGTTTAACTATTACAGTTATGTCACAATAACTACTTTTTCATGTTAAAATGTGAAATAGTAACACCGGTACAAACTAGGCCACACTATCATATCAGTACCTGTATCATGCGTAACCACCAATTACGTTAACTATGTAATTTTAGTAACATATTTCACTTTTTAAATCTTTGTTAATTCGGCAACCGTCCGTCGTGATGTCTCTCTCGAAGTTCGTATGTTGCAAGGCGCAGACGCGTGATATACGCGGGTGAAACCGCGGGGCACAGCTAGTACTTTCATAAAGTTATTTAATTAGTTAAACAGGTACATAATATGATTAAGAAATTAAATGTTATTTTAAGCGCTTGCTCTTTCAGATGTCAATTCGTTCATAAATAAAATGTTGACAGACAAGTAGTCTGACATTTGCTATACAAAATCGTCGTTACCAAGTACACACAATTTATTTCCATTTTTCTTCTGAATTTATTTCAGGATCTCTTAATAATACTAAGTAGGCCAGTACTGAAGAATCGCAATTTTATAGGTTTTACCTATTATTACGAATTCGATCTAGTTAAATTTTAATTAATTTTAAATTTACGACGTTTCGAGTGCTTTGCAGTAACAATCGTCACGGGATAAATGAGAAGTGCAAATTCCTGACGTCATAGTTTTCCCGGGCTAACTTAAGCTCTTATTAATTTTGTTCAGATCTACACAGAATGAGTTCACATTGTATTAAAAGAAATATAAATTAATTAAAGAAATAAGTAAATTGTACAAGCCTATTTTATATTGTATATAAATTTACGGTCGAAAAAACTCCACTGGGTTCGTTGCTGGTTTTCCTCGGAACAGAAGCTTTTTTTTTTCTTATCGGTGGTAAAAGTAAAAAATTACTTTCAAGTTTTTGAGTTTCGATTTATTTATTATTAGCCAGTTCTTGACCATAATTCTAAGTGCTCGTATGTGATGATGAGGCCAATTTAATTTAATTAAAGGATTACATGCGTTGCTAACACGCAGCTATCTTCTCTATTTTAAATCTGGATGTTTTGATCCTAACTCAAAGATTTTTGCAAGGATTTTCCGTCAAAACAGATACAATAGAAGTAGTAATTCTGCCTGCTTAATGATATGCGAGTCTTCTTTCATTTAAAATTAAAGGAGATTCAAAAATCGGAAAAATTAAATGTATATCGTTCTCATAAAATTACATATTATATTAATGCATCTCCCGGCCTTCCACCATCCAATAAACAGACTGTAGGCCAGTATCCACCCTTTTATTGTTGACATACCTCGCATTCATACCACATGGTTAGCTTCGTTGTTCGTGAAGCGTATTTTCATCCGATAACAATTTGGGTGGCTTTAAGGCAAAAGCATCATTGGCACCAGTTACCAATAAAGTAGGATAGTAGTCTAAAATAATCATAATCCTTCCTTTCGACTTAGTAACAGTTTTTTTTTTTTATTTATTTAATAGATGAATTCCGAAGTAAAGTTGGCTGCGAAAACGATGTACTTCATTTAAGCTGTAACCCACATTCAAGAGTTGCTATATATTCGGCTCAGTATGGAAGAACTGAGTATGATTCAATACAGTGCCCACAGCCAAGGGGAATGAAAGAAGAGAGTGAGTACTTAGATAAATATAGAGCATCCTAATAATTAAGATAAGATTTTGAAGGTTTTGAAGTTTTAATATTTTTTGTTAATATTGTAAAAACAAACTCTATGCCATCAGAAATACAGTAATAGCTAATTGGGCAAGGCCTTTTCATTCCTTAAAGAATTAATATGGACGCCTCATAGCCTGTTATTATAATGATTATCGTACCCTACAAGCCAACAATAGTAGTGTGTTCACTTTTGCGTGGCGGAAGATGTAGTTTGATAGTGGCACCTATCTTAAGGAACTTCTGGGCCAAAATAAACTCCACCAAGCACGTACAATATTATATCGTAGTTACTGATTATAAATTAATAATTTGTATCATATATGTAGGTATTTTAAAGAAATTAAATTGAATTCTGTTATCAGCTTGCTTAGAACCTTACGCCACTGAGACAGCAATGCGAGAGTGTCACGGAAAGAGACGCTGTGTGTTGGCAGCTGACAGCAAGATGTTTGGCAAGCCTTGTCGTGTAGGTAGCCGAACTTATCTCAAAATCGTTTACACTTGTGGTAAGTAAATATTAAAAATACAAAGATATGTTTTCAATATATTAACTACATAATGAATTACAAACATTATAGTTCTTAACACATTAAACGCCACGTAGGTCACCGGTGACCGGACCCTGCCCCGTGTCTAGACGCCACGTAGGTCACCGGTGACCTCGAGGCATATCTGACTTTGAACCTTATTTCTACCGCTAAGCACTTAGATTTCATTGATTTATAGCAAGCATGTGGCCGGAGTGGTGCTGTAGAACACTTTTGCTGAATGGTTCTTGTGTAGCTAATTTTTTTTTCAAGTTATAAGGAAAACCTTATTGCCGTCCGCGGTTCTACTTGCCAACATTATTAAAACATTTTTTGAAGCATTAATTTACTTTTAAAAATACGTTTTTTGGCTTTTAAACCTCATAAATATTATGTAGCATTCCATAACGTTAATTAATGGGTTGACTAGCGACCCACCCCGGCTTCACACAGCGACTTCGAAAAATATTGTCAGAAAAAAGTCGATGAAATATATTTCAATTAAATTAAATATGGAATATTCCGACTAAAGTTAACTTAGTTAACTAATGGTCCAAGCTACATCGAAATCAGTTAAGCTGTTCGCGACTTTCAGGCAAACATCGGAGACATCAAGTTAGGTACATTTACCCATACATTCCCACGTTAGACCTGTATTGTGCTTTTTTCACTGCAGCCGGCTTAGATTTTGACTGAAGCTACGTTTTGTATACTCTGAACATTTATCTAAATACATTTGTCTATGAAAAGAAACAAACCATCCTATGGAAAAACAAGGTTATATTAATTACAAAAGTTAAGGTAGTCAAATAACAAAATTTGCAATGATGTAAGGACTTACAAAGTAGAAAAACGTTTCAAACTAATCCTTTATATTTTATGAATTCTATTAAAATAAGGCAAACATAAATGCGGTTCGTTATCGTATTCGCTGCAAAATGTAGAGACTTTTTTAGTTTTGTTTTTGGCGGCCTTGGATCCATAAGTACCAACATTAGTTTTATAACATTGGGCACAAAAACGCCTTGTACTTCTCACAGTACCTTCTTTGGTTTGAAGCTTATGTTTAACTCTTCTTGGTCGCTCATTGCTTGCTTCAGGTCCACTTTCTGTCTGAGTCAAGTAGTCTACCAATTGCCTTCTGAATTGGACTATCCCTATATTTGATTGAAAGTTGACGATCGACTGCGGGGGCGGGTGGCCGGAAGCGTGACCAACGCGGCGTCTCGGTAACGGAAACGCTCTTTGTTATATCATGGCGCCGCATAGGACACCCGTGACCTCATGAGGTTTTATAGGTTTTTTTTCTAAACTATACCTTTTACAGCGGTCTAGCATATATGGATATTCATGTCTCCTAATAATAAATCAAAGTGCACCAAGACAAAAAAAATCAATTTTGGTTATAATTAGCATGGCGTTTAATGTGTTAACTTAAATTATTGAAGCATAGAAAATACTATGTACTTCTTAATGAAAGTAATTAATATATAAATATTTATACCAACTTTTTGTTATGTATATTACAACATTTTAATCAAAAAAGAACAAAAAAATCTAATGAATCTTTTGTTATTCTCATGCGTGTACATGCAAGAATGAATATATTTTTAGATATTTTATTCCAAATAGCTGATGCCTCGTTCAAGAACATAAAACATCTAGTTTCTCCCAGTCTGACTGGCGTCCGCAATAAAGCTAAGATATAAAAATACGGGACGGCCAAGGGACCATCCGAGGTTCTATCTTTATGCTATAATATAAAGATGAGTAGGAGAAGCCTACATTAGTAATATAATGTTAAAAGTGTGTGATATTTAAATTTATGTTTCCAATTGAAATTAAGATGTTTTGTAAAGCGAAAAATAGTTATAAGAAATGAATAAATCACATAATAATTCAAAAAACATTTCTTTATTTATTTGATTAATTATTTGATAATTGCTACAGTCTTTTGTAATAAAATTAGCTCATCAGTTAAGCCACTTTTTATAGACATGCGTTTGTAGACATATTTTAATTATTTCCATGTTATTTTTATGATTTCTAATAATTTTTATAGTTTTACAATTTTGAAAATTATTGCCATTTGCTTGCTTAGCAAACAACCGCATATATAAAATTTGCTTACACACCACGCTAGAACAACCAGATTGATTTTGATGATATTTTAATGTCGTAATTCTTATGACTCCTAATTTAAATTTTAGTCATCTTTTATGTCAATCTATTATGTAGAACCAAATATACCTACAGGTTGACTTCTATATAGTTACAGGCTTTATTGTAATTAATAGGATTAAGTTTGAATTAATAGTTGTCTTTAGAGCTAAAACATCTCCGATTTCAATGGAGCTTATAATTACTAAAGGATCAAATTATTTGAAGATATTTCTCTGATCTCCGTTAATTCGTGATGATGTTTAGGTTTTCCATATTAATTAAGCATCTCTAAACTCTCCCATACTTACCAAATATACAACGATTCGTTCACCACATACTTAACATGTACGTTGATTTGTCGTACACACAAAACGAGCACTACACACTGAATTCCAAGTTTTCATATTATATAGCTTACGTTCAAGACACTTAGCATCGAGTTGAGAATAAATATTAGGAGGATTTTTCGTTGTATTATTTAGGTTTTTATTAGAATACTAGATGACCAGACGGATGTTGTTCTGCTCTTTCCGACGACCCTTCCCATAAAAAAAAATTTACAAAAAATTTTAAAAAAACTTAAATTCACAATTAAAAAATAATGAAGGTCATTTATCGGGATAAAAGTATCCTATCTCTCAAGTTGGACCAAACTGAATACAGTGTGCAAAATTTCATTGAAATCAGTTCAATAGTTTACGCGTTCATCGCGGACAAACAATGTGACACGTAATTTTTATATATAAAGATTAAGTCGTTATTTTTAATAATTCTCCTAAATTAGTGCCGGTGACAATTAAGGCCTTTCTTACACTACGCGCAAATCTTAAACGAACAAATCTCGTGTAATTTATAGTATAAATATTATAATCTATACAAAATTTCAGTCAATACCTTCTTTTTATAGGATAAGGGTAACAAACGAGCACTCAGTCCACCTGATGGTAAGTGGCCCATAGACATCTACATTTATCTTCGATTACGAATCAAAATGCAGACGCGTTGTCACCTGTGAGGACTAAGATGGAATGCCTCGTTTCCAGTAAAAAGGGTCTCCGGTTCTCTACACTCACCATACGAAACACAGCTGCATCGAGCTGCTATTTTACGCTGGTATTCTGTGAGATCGTGGTCCTTCCCCGATCGAGCCGACCAATTCGTGCTACAACTATACCAGAAATATAGCTGCAGCATGGCTCTACCACGTATAATACCTTTCAGTAAAGTAACAGCCGTATGGTGAACATGTAAGATAATCCATCATCTGGTACTGTGATCGTCAATCCGTCTGCCAAGTGTAGCGATAAAGACAAATCTTTCTTTCAATGGGATATGTTCAGTCGTCAAAATTTTTCTAGTTGGTGGTAGGTATATAATTAAATTCGGTAGAAGATTTATTCATCAGTTTTATTTTTTAAAATAACTGATTATAAAAGAATATTGACAAGAATTATTTATATGTTATTAATATGTAAAGGAAAAACTTTGTACCCAAAATATTGTCACTAATATGTGTAACAAAAAAATTAAATTCAATAATATTAAACATGTATTGATCACGTTAGTACCAAACAAATATTGTCGCTTGGATAAATTATGTCGTTTGTTTACGTTTGTACTACCAATGTCTCTGTGTAAGTACAAGCATAAGCATGTTATTACTTCAAGGCCAATGTTAAACAATTAACTAGTCTTTGGCAAAATAGCTGCAAATAAAAATTTAATGAATTACGTTCGTATCTCGACCACTAAACGTTCCTTTCTTCCTTTATCTACCTTTATTGGCAAATCCTGCAAAGGAAACATTTAAAGTATTATTATATGATATTAATAAAATTTTATATTATAAATTTGGGTATTTTACTAAATATCCGGCTCATCACCTGTGACGATATCAGATACAATATTGTATGTACAATACTTTACATTTGGCGGCATCAATTCATACGATGTCGTTATAGATATTTGGTAAAATTTTGGAATAATATGCTACGTACAATTTTCTTGAAATCTTTTTTCGTGAAATTTCCAAGTTCATTTATTGTGTTGGGCTCACTTAGAAATCAATAAGACTACGTTCTTCAAAATCCGTTAGTATATTACTTCTTTTTCGGTTCTTACACCGCGCAACTCGGACATTATCTTGTTTGTTTCCGTTGAAGTAATGTCCTTGCACGGATCATCAAAAATATTGCTATGGGCTTCATCATGAAACTTGAATCTATAATGACTTTGTTGTTGACCAAGATCACAACGATAATTGCCTTAAATAATACTGTGAAACTTTTCGTGCAATAAATTCTTTCAAATTCACTCTGACGTGCTAAACACACATTAAAAATGACTGCATATTTGCGAAAACATATTATTAACGAATATAATGTAGGTTACCGAAGAGTTATATTTTGGAATTCTAAATTATTTTTTGATTAACATTGTTTCTTTGGCCAGCTTAAAGAATTTCAATGTCACCCTAATAATGACAACTCTAGTACATAATTTAAAATTTTGTACAACCGACTTCAAAATAAATTATTAAGATTAGCTCAAAAACTATTGGCCAAACCTTGATCGAATTTGTATGGGACCATAGGAGAAGTATTAGCTGTCAAATAAAAAAAAGTCATCGAAATCGGTTCATTCCGAAAAAAGTTATAAGGCAACACACATAAAAAAACATACAGTCGAATTGAGTACCTCCTCCTTTTTGAAGTCGGTAGAAAATAGATGATATTTTAAGTTATTTAAAAAATAAAAATGTTATATTATGGGGCATTGTAGGCTTCAAACATTTTCAGTGTAACATTACGCCCATAATTTATTAACTGTATGAGCAAAATGAAGTTTTATTTTTTAACGTTGACAACAAACGCGGATCTTATGTTAAACGCAGCGAATAATATCGCAAATAATAAAATTATTAAAAAGCATAAAATCACTGACATTCATTTTAAAAATTATAATATTATCATTTCTCTATAGTACCAACTTAGCAGTAAGTGTATTTTAATTCCTTACTGGGCTTTTGTGATTTTTACTTAGGCTTTTGTTATAAACGTACACTTAATAATAGGTTAAATTTAGATTATTTAACACCAAAATATTGCAACTAAGGTTTGAGATTACAAAAATTACAAGCTTAGCTGTGATGAGTCACAGGTCATAAAATTTGTTAAATATTGTCCTTTATAAATATTACATTTATTCCAAGCGGAGTTCAGAGGTATAGTTAAGATATAATGTAGATTTCTACTTCAACAGCGATTGCATGGGAAAAAATAAATGAGAGAAGATTATGTCGTTTAATTTTAAATTTAATTAAGCCTTTCCTGTGAATATGTAATAGAAAGTATTACACAAGATATTGATAAATTTAACATTAACTCACAAAAACCCATTTAGAAAAGCATTTCTCAAGTTATAATTTTTTTTATAAGTTGAATACGTTACCCCCACACTAGGATTTTCTCCTGTGTCGTGGAGGCAGTTTACAAACATAAATTTCACAAGGACAAACATCCAGACCCGGAACAATTATTTGTAGGCCATACAAATACTTGTTCCGTGCGGAATTCGAACCCGCGGCCCCCAGCACAGCAACTGATTGCTAAGCCACTGCGCCACAGAGCCGCCTAATAATATATATAAGATGTTAAATTAAAATTTACAATTAACCTGGAGCAGATATTCCAGATTATTATATTTTTTCGCAATCATAGTTCTTCTACGAGCCACTTCTGCTGCAATCAAGCTGGTGTTACGTGTATAAGGAAATGCTATAAAATAAGGATATTTTATTTTATGTTATTAAATCAAATATGTAATAAACATATAGTACCTTCAATTTTTTTAAAAATAAGTGATATTGCAAATTTTTCCATTCATTATAGTTTGCAAACTTGTCTTCATAAATCTACAAGTTGTAAAGAACGTCTCGGACAAGGAGAGAGTATAATTAAATGGTTAAACGAACATACCTTAAGTGAAGTTCAACCATGATTATACGAAGCTCCTTGTCCGAGACGGTACCCCAAGCCCAACCCTACCTCGGTTAGGGTTGCTCATCTAATCCCTTCCTTTAAACATAATGACATTGCATTTGACAGACGGATGGATATATTATGTTGTGCACACGTTCTGCCGTTGCAAATTTTTTTAGGAGCTTGGTTAACTATGATGTACTAGTATAAAATACGGCGTACTACAAGTTGTAAAGAACGTCTCGGACAAGTTGCTTCGTATAATTATTGTTGAACTTCACTTAAGGTAACTTCGTTTAACCATTTAATTATATTGCAGTACCGCGCACGGTCCTCAAAGAGCGTTACGAGAGTGCACCAGAAGAAGATGAGGTTGCTTATGATATATCTGATAATGATCAAGAAGATGTCGGTAAGCTCTGTATTCATTTAATATTAGAGTAGTGTAATAATAATAATTGACATTTGATATTATGTTACGAAATATATAAACCTATGTTCCATATTTTTTTTTAATAATTAATCATCAAAAGGTATATACAATTTTTTATTAACAAAGTTTAAAAAGTGAGAAGATTCTATGTACGCGTCTAGTGTATATTCGCCGATTTTCTTTCTCGATACTTCTTATTAAATAAGGCATACTTCTAACCATGTAGTGCGGATGAAACAATATCCCACAACCCCATTTCGTCCCATGAGTGTCGTGAGAGGAGACAACGGGAAACTGAAACAGGAGATGGGCAGCAGCATCTCCCTGATAACAACTCAAAAAAATAAAAAATCTGCGGTTGCTAACCCGCATGCCAAGCGTGGCAACTTTGGCGAAATCCTCCCTATGAGGCAATCTAAATTGGAAGCCTATGTTCAGCAGTGGACTTTTATATGTTGTAATGATTGAAGGCATACTTCAAGGGTGGTCCTATAACATTTTTTAGATTTTCTTACGGGTACAACCTATATGGAATGAAAATATTAATGTAACTTATTTAAAATACATTTTAGTCGTTATCTATGGCCGTTATATATGTTATTATATGGGTAAAATAAATCACCAAATATAAATATGAAAAGAAAAAAAAAGTAATTTTCACATAATAGCTTCTGATGTTTAACTCTTCGATACACTATTTTTTAATACCGACTTCAGTGGCTAATATGTGGAAATTATTTTCTCTTTATTGTATTGGAAGTTTGTTTTTCTTTTTTAAAGTTAAATGGTTATTAAATGAAACTAATTTTACGGATATTAGCGCGTTTAATTTCAACTTTTTATTTCTCTACTGCGGATCATTATAGGCCGACGGGGGGTAAAATTAATTTCTATAAAAGGTTTTAAAAAGTTACTTCGCAAACATCCGCTCTATAAAATAAAAGTAACTTTTTTAAACCTTTTATATAATGGATTTCCGCAAAGTAACGCCTGATTCTATTAATTACAAAATTAGTTTAATTTAAAGTGTAGTGTTAGTGGATAAAATATATTAATAAATTATTGTTTTAGCGTACAAACGCACGCTGTACAAATATAGTTTTACTCTTAACACGTATCCAACTCCATACGAACAATACGTATAAGTTTATACCCATGTGTCTCTTTGAAATTTCAATCAAAGTGGACTTACACAATAGGAAAACAAAAGTTGGAATTGTTAGTCACACACGTTCATAAATCTGTGTCAGCTAAAGCGGAGTGCTGAGTAAAGTTGCTTGCGCATGACCCAATTTGCATTCCACTTACTTGATGTATAGTGTGCATTTCGCCGTGCAATAATTTTTCATTAGAATTCAATGGATCTACTACTTATATTGCCTTTATAAATAATTTACTTTAAAATACAAAATTTTCTCTCACATCTTTACTATTTAGCCTTGAAAAATTGTATAACGTGTAATAAAATAATATGGTAAAATATTAAAAAGTTAAGTTTCTTCTCTGACGTGCAGTCCCACGACTGACAGTTTTTTTTATTCATATGTGATGGAGGTGCAAGCATGATGTTAAAAAGCGTTTGAATTTCAATTATTCGTAGAAATAAAGACTGTTTAATTAGTATGATATACTTTTTAAGTATTTAAAAATGGAATGAAAATTAAATTGCTCAGACTATATTACTAGACGAAACCAGTGACCGTTGGTGGGGAGAGCAAGCCATACCACCTGCTCCTGCCGTTGCTGCAGTGCCTTCTCAAAAACCTTCAATATCAACGATTAGTAACTTTACAAACAACAATCAACAGGACTCATTCCCAACATCACCAAAGCAACATGTTACAAAAAATGGTAAGTTTAATTATAAACTTAATATATTTTATAAAAAAAAAAGAATTACCTTTGACATATGAAACTTTAAATTCTTACGTCCAAGGAATGAATAATATTTTTCATCATCATCATTACATCACTCAAATCTACTGCAGATCATGGGCCAAGGTAAGTAATCCCTTCCTTGGGAGAGCCAAGAAATGCCACAAAATACGGTCCTGCACCATTTATATCTAGTGCCAAATATATTTTTTTATTAAAAGTAGTTATACAACTGACAATGCTATTACTGTATTACTTGTCTATTTTATTACTTCACAAGATTTGATCGATTTTACAAACACCTAGATTCTGATTTTGACTGAGCAAAGAAGGAACCTGCAGGAAAGGACAACCTACATTTTATTTTTGGCATTGCTTGCCAAATTTAAAACTACAACTTCTGGGTAAATTTTGGGGATTAAAGTAAAAAAAATTAAAACAGAAATATCCTATGAGAAAATAACTAAAAGTGTTTTAAAGAATCCTTATAAAATTATATAAATCATTATAATATATTTATTTATTTTATTTAACATTTTTTTGAATAAAAATTTCAAATTTCCCTTTTTAATAAATTTTAATAATAATTTGAAAAACTAAAACAAAGACAGTTTTACAAGGTATAGATTAAAGGAAAAATCAGAATTAATTTATATATGTATGAATATGAAAAATATTATATAATAAATGAAAAAAATGGGCTACCCTACAAAAACTTACCTTGTATAGCACATAACTTATAATTATACATAGCATGAACGTCATCGATTTTACGGACAGTTATTAAAGTATTGAATCGAAGAGGCATAACTTCTCTGTATAGCCTTTCGGGAGTCAACTGCCTAACAAAAGTTTATAGGAGATAGGAGAAACTCTTTACCATATTTGCCACTTCTCACTGGCTGGTTTGCAACCTGCAAGCAGTTTTGTTAAGGTTAGAAAGATGCTGCTGCCCATTCATATCCTTCTTTTGCCCGTTGCGACACCCACGGGATGATATGGGGTAGTAGATTCCCTTTCAAAGAAATTTTGAAAAGCAGAGCAGTATACTGATATGACAGTTAGTTTTGTATTTACAACCGTCATTCAGACAGTAGTAATGCACCCTGTAAAGGATTCGAAACTTCAGTAAAATTAGTTTTATTCTAGTCGCTGCTTATTGCATTAATCTTCTATTAAACTTTCGAACAGACTATATACAGATACTTTATTCTACAGATCAATTCGACATCATCTATGTGTACATCATTGCTGCTATTGCTGTTGCTCTTTTAGTTTGCATCATTGTGGCTACAGTGCGTTGCGTCATAAATAAGCGTAATATAGAACAACCGAAAGGACCCGATGTATCAGCTACAACAGAAATTCCGAATGGCTTTAATGACAGTATATCAGAAGTTGACAACGATATAAATATAACAAGTCTCTCGGGTCCTGTTGAAACTATAGTTTCGGGACTAAAACAAGAAATGCAACTTGAAAATATGACTCTTAGTCCAAAAATTAATCGTTACGTAGGACGTCCAGTCCCAAACACATATCCACATGTAAGCAGTAACATATATGGACAAGTTGCCGACTATCCTATCGAAATGCCTCTTCGAACAATGCAACATGGAACTTTAGGACGCGGTGTAGCAGTAAAGACTTTGCCAAGAGTTCAAATACAAGCCGAATCTGACCGCAACACAAGAAGTTTATATCGTTATTCAAACGCTCAGTACTATTTTGGGTGACAGCAAGACATGAGTCAGTGTACAGATATAACCAGAACTTACTGTTTCTAGTTAAGTCGTGTAGCGAATGACTCTGTAATTTTAATATCTTAATTTTAATACAGAAACTGTGATATTAATTGGAATTTTCCTATTATAGTACAATATATTTGAGGTACACGTCTACTAACTCACTGGCTGGATCGCATCAAACAGATTTTAAATTTATTTGTTGCTTAGTACAAGTAGTAGCAGTAGTTTATATAGACCACAATATCGGGCCGTCGGTACTCGTGATGCCGACACAATTTCGTGGAGGGACAACCATTACGATAAATATCGATGTTATCTTACTGATTGTCAATCAGTGAACGCAGAGCCATCGCTGCCGCAAATGTAGACTCGAATATCAAGAAAAGTAGTAAATTTGGCATGCCACACGAAAATACTATAAAAATTTTACTTCCTCGTTCAGCCAGAAAATAACGTGTAATATGCTTCATATTGTAATGTCTTCTAAATATGTCATCTATCCAAGTGTCAAGTTTTCTTTTACTTTTCTCTCCTTCCGCCAACAACTAAGCAAACACAACAAGTTCTTCTTTATCACTTTGCATTTCATATCGCACACGTAGTTTCCGCTATTTCGGTCTCTTCGGAAGTCCGAATGTTATTGTTAAAAAATCCGATTGCATAATATGACCACGTGGAAGCACTACCACAATCTAATCCGTTTGATACGATTCATTCGATGCGTACGTTTAAGCACTATGTTAATTTTTAATTTAATTTAATTATTTCGGAAATACTAAAAGTCCATACTTTGTATAGAATAAGTAATTTTATGATATTATATATTTCATTACGGTTTCTTAATACATATTTTTATTTTGAATTTCTTTAATGCATTTGATGTATTTTTTGATGTGTTAATACTTTCTTGAATGAAACTTGTTGTCAGTATCACTATACAGTTCATGTGTTCTGTATTTTTATTATGACTGAAATCTACTGTAAATAGAGGAATGTTAATAGAAATTCATAAAATTATTTATAAATAATTTAATAAACTATTATAAAAGTAATGTTTTTTTATGTTGTGTACCTAGTCTGGTATAAACCATTTTACTATAATTATTGTACATAGTGTAGCTATCTAACTTATCGTAGTTTTTAATTGGTTAGAGTTAACGTTTGAGAGTTCGTGGCATTAACCAAAGCAAACTTGTCTTCGTAATAATGTTTTTAGAAGAGAAAATTTTTTATAAAATTTTTAAAAATGGCAAGAAAATTATAATAATAATGTTCTTCAAACCAAATTTCGATCACAGCGGCCAGTCTTCACGGATACTTGCCATCTACGCAGGACGGGATTATAGTGACTGGGAGTTTGCGCAAGCACAGGTGCACTCTCTATTCACTCACTCTCATATTCTGATAAGACGGTAAACCGAAACGGCCAGCAAGAGATCAGGCGCAGGACCAACGTCTTTACGTGTTTTCCGAGGCATGGGGGTGAAACACCGCCAAGTTTCTGATTCCGGACTGTTATTGAGAATTTCTTGTGAGAAAAACCGAAGACAAGTTTGTACGTGGTAGAGCCATGCTGCAACTATATTAGTAGATTAGTTGTAGCACGAATAGGTCGGCTTGACCGGGGAAGGACCACGCTCTTACAGAATACCAGCGTCAAATAGCAGCTTAACACTGCTGTGTTTCGTATGGTGAGTGTAGAGAACCGGAGACCCTTTTTACTGGAAAAGAGGCATTCCATCTTAGTCCTCACGGGTGACAACGTATCTGCATTTTGATTCGCAAAGAAGGATAAATGTACATGTCTACGGGCAACCACTTACCATGAGGTGGACTGTGTGCTTGTTTGTCATCCTATCATATTAAAAAAAATAAACTGATTTTGACGCGACCAGGATAGAACCCGGGACTCAAGACCACCAGTCGCGTGTACGATCACTAGACCAAAGAAGCAGTCAAGAAAATTATAGAGATAATTTTGTAGTGTTTTTTCACTACGAATCGTGATAATATTATTAATGACAGTATAGTCATAATTTTTTAGCAATTCCGGTATATGTAATTTTTTATGTAGTACGACAAAGACAAACTGTATTTAAGATAATAAGTAGCATGGCTATTCATCTAAAGACACTATAGAATAATGATCACGATAAATAAAAGTAATGGCTAAGGATAAGAATATGTTGCCTCTTTACCAATATATCAGGTAACATTAGAATTGGACTAACAAATGAGCTGACAATTCGCCTGGTAATAATTTCTATAGTAGCTAAGAAGATCACAATACATTATTACCGATAACAACTAAGATGAAATGCCTAATAACCTGTAACTGAACTAGTTCTCATAACCTTCTAATTAAAATTCAGTTAGCGGCAGAAATTACAGGCAATTACAGGCTGTGCTGTATCAACTCAGATGGAAGTCAAGAGAGAAAAAAATCCTAGCAGCTAGTGGCGAGCAAGTAAGATTTTTTAAGTTATTTAGTAAATAAATACATTTGAATGTTATAGTGGTGACATGCGCTTTGTAATAAACTTATACTTGAAAGTTATTACGTGTATATCTAATCTATTTTGACGATGAAAAGGATATTACACCAGTCATATAAAGTAATAAACTCATAGAACGTTACTAAGGAGAGAAGATTTTGATATAGCACCCCGAAGTTATAATCCACTGAAATGGCACGCGTCTGGAATGTCAAATGGAACGTTAAATTTTATCTGTATTGAGGACAGTCTCAGACCCATAGACATTTTCTTTGTGAATGATGTCTTTAAGCACTTTTTGTTATAATTTTAGTTGTAATAAGTATATTAAGATAAGTTTGTATGTTATAGATATAATGATATAGATAAGCTTGCTCTTGTCTGTATACAGTTGACCTTACTGATTGATGGTCCATCTCTTCTCTTTAATAAGCTTCATAATCCTGAAAACATTTATATTAACATGGATTTCATCCTTAAGTTATTGTCCACTAAATCAATGAATGTTTTGGTGCCCTCAGCGGGGATTTAAAATGTTTCGTGTCAATACAAAGAGTATATAGGCATTTTTCAGGCTACCACAAATAAAACGTGTTTACATCAAGGATCGTATTACCACTTAACATCACGTGTTATCTTGGTCAAGCGAGTTCTTATTATAGATAAAAAAAACCTAGCTGATGACTTGAAGTAGCTATATATGTGATAATATGTGTTTATATGTGGTAATAATGTTTTAAAAATAAATTAATCTTCTTGAGTTTTCAAAAGTACACTGCAGGATACTCGTAAGCACGTCCCCCGTTGTAGGGAGGATTTCTTTTATGAGTTAGAGAGTGAAAAACAACACAGAGTCCCTTATACCAGTCAAGAGGTTCTTCGATTCTCATCATTCTTCATGCCAAATACAGTAGTAATATACGTATGTTGGTCCTTTCCTAGTTGAGCTTATTCATCTGTTTTCATCTTTAGGTGGAGCACGACTGTACCAGCTTTTCCCACTTAACCGCATCTAGCAAAGGCCGGCTCGAATCGTTTACGTTTTAATTTTTTCTGATCGACCTTATTTACTGCCCTAGCGAACGGACCGTTAGTTTTAGTTAGTTATCGTATAGTGGCGGGTAAGAATATCCACCAGCCCATATAATTCTGTGAGTTTCGTAAGAGGCGACTTACTGGTAAGACTAATAGGAATTTCCTAATGGGAACTTCTCAGTAGCAGCGCTGAGTCAGAAAGAACGTACAGCTGTTGGTTCTGAACGTGATCTCTCTCCAGTCGTGTCGAATTACCGTCCCATCGGACGACGAGACTGAGGGATTATAGAGTTCACCTTTGCGTACATTCTGGCACTTTGTCTCGCACAGATCTAGACCCTACTACTACTATGTAGTAGTCCGGCACTGGCTGCCGTGACCAAAATACGGTCTAAAGAACTATCCCACTGCCTCTTTCACGATTATAATTACTTAGTACTTTTCTTACTCTTTATAAAGAATAAAAATGAGTCAAATTAGGCCAAAAACGATTATGCTAAATGCATTATGAAAATAATAAAATAAATTAGTTAAGTACTGATGATAAAAAAAATACTGTACTACTGAGTATTTTCTTAGTCTTACCAGTAAGTTCTACTTGGTTAAAAATTCCTAGTAGTTTTACCACTAAGATTATTTAGTAAGACAACTGGGAATACACTTAGCCATGAAGATTTCCCCATTAGGAAATTCCTATAAATCTTACTAGTAAGAAATTTTCTTCCCATTTGTCTTACTAGTAGGACTAAGTAGTCTTACCAAGTGGAGGGACTACTGGGAATACCCCGTTACTTCCTTTGATCCCTGTTTATTTATACATCCATAATTATATTGCCGGGTAGTGGCCACGTAAGAGAATTCGTTACAAATTATCACTCTGTCGGCGTCGTAATCGTAAAGGGAGACTCTGGGATACGCCAAAATAATATTATAGCTTCGGATAGATAGCGCTATAAGTATCTTGTTAACGACAGACGTTAAAGGTGACGGGAAGTAGCGTCAAAACCGCGAAGCGTCTGGTCACAGAACACTTATTAATTCTAGCATCTGGTAAACTACGATTGTCAATCCATAGTATAATGTCCTCCAGACCGAATTTCGGTCACAGCGGCCAATCTCAATGGAGACTAGCCATCTGCGCAGGACAGGATTATAGTGCCCAAGTATATGCGCCAGCACAGGTGCACTCTCTATTCCCTCACTCTCATAGTACGATGGGACGGTTACCGACATGACCGGAGAGAAATCAGGCGCAGGACCAACGGCTTTACGTGCTTTCCGAGGCACGGGGGTGAGACACCGCCAACTTCCTGACTCCGGGCAGCTACTGAGAATTTCTCGATGGAAAAATTCAATAACTGATTTTGTTGGCCCGACCCGGGATACGAACTCGGGACCTCATGATCAGCAGTCGCGCTCTTACAACCACTAGACCAAAGAGGCAATCCATAGTATATT